GATATAATGTATACAATAATTTGTATAATATGTTTAATATAATATAATATGGTTCTATTTTAAAAAAGACTAACAAATATACTGATAATCTTATAAAAAATATATATTATAAACATTTTTTTCAATTTGCATACATCATATTTCTCTTCTAAACTATACAACTTTTATTTGATACTCTTTTAATATATAATCGACAATTTAGAAAAATATATTAAAATTGTCCACCCTATATAGCTTCACTTGAATGTTTATCGCGCGTAAACACTTTCATTTCTTACATCTAGATACTCAGATTGCGACAAGGATGATTACAGAGTCGTTGAAAACAATTATTATTATCGAGTAAAATAGATGAGAGCAATTTCCATGATATAAGTGTTGTTTCATAAGAGAATGTACAATTTTTTGACATCTGAAAGATTGAAAATTCATAATTTCTAAAATCCACATGAATTTATTTTGCAAAATAAGCAAATAATTAATTTTTAAATTAATTTTAATTAATTTTTTATTAATATATTCATTATGTTGTTTAATAATACTGAATCCAAAGTCAAAACTTCTTTATCTTTTACATTTTTCTCTTTTAATAAGTCAATCGAATCAAAATAATAATATCACAATTAACCAAGTTTCTTCGCCCAATTCTTATTGCAAAAAATATTATTTCAGTTAGAATATTTTCTGAATGCCTTCAAAAATCCCACCTTACTAATACTTATATTTCATTTTTGTGTTTGAATATATTTTCGATTATTAATTTATAATAAGTATGTGTGTGTGTGTGTAAACTATCGAAGACATTATATATTTACATTAATATTTTTAATTCGTTTCGATTAAAAAATTTTTATTCGAGTTACTTCCTCACAAAGAATTTAATTCTTTCTAAATAGTACTCTTTCAGGAACATTCTATATAAATTAATGAGAGTACAGGAATACCAGTTATCAGTAAATACTAAACACAGCATAGTACAGTATTTAATGAGTTAGTAGATGTGCAGAATTAATACGTATAACGTAGTAGGTAAAGTGAAAAAAATTTCCGTTTGTAATATCGTCTCGTCAGCAATTTCTTTTGTCTACCGTTAGATAGGTGTGATTAGAGTGCGCCAAATCAACGGGGTTGGACGATCTCGGCGACCGTTGAAACCTAACATGGAGCTCTTTCCTCCTTGCCGCGGGTTATCAGCTGACCTCTTCGCGGCGCAGTTTGCTTATATATAACGTTATTATAGCCGATATGACATGCCGAGGATGCAACCTTCGATTTGTCATGCAGTCAAAACGTGTCGCGATCCACTGACAAGCGAAATCCGTTCGACGCCGATCCGTCCATGCTGTCGGATCACGCATTTTGTTCACCCTCGTCCTCGGGCGTTCGCCCGAGGGCGCTTAGGTGAAGTGATTTCTTTTTCCTTCGAAAAGAGGAGTGCTTATGCATACATATTTCTAGCCTTCGTTTCGAGCGCAGCTTCACGATTTCGAAATATTTCTGCCGGCATTAGCGTTCGCAGATAAAAACGCAAACTAAGTCAACTATTATGGTAGGAAGAAAAAAAAATGAATTGCCTACGATGAATATTTCTGATTTGAAGAGGGCGCAGGAAAAAGAAACATGCTTTTGCGAAGCGCGAGCAATAAACGTTTCTTCATATTTCCCTATTTCTTTATCTCACGTAAACATGCTTCTTTGTACGTGATACTCGCTCGCGTCGCGAATCATGGAAATAACCACGCGCGGATGCCACGTGCTTCGACCAAGATGCGCTGTGGACGAATTACCGTTAATCAATTGAGGGGCTCGATGCAGTAAAATTATCACAAACCACATTCGAACGAAATAAAATACTATTGCGATGCATTTCACTAAAAATCATGTTCGTACGTGAGTTCGTTGTGCCCACAAGTCCCAAAATCTATTTTATTATAAATCACACTATCGAAATCTATATTATAAATATAATCTATTTTATAAATCATGTCAAAATAAAAGACTAAAATTGATTTATTAAAGAAAATCTATATTCTTTATTAGAAAAATTGACTCCAGATTCGCCAAAGGATTAAAATTAAAAATAAAGATTTCAAGACACATTTATATAGTCGTATATAATAAGATTATGCTTTCTCATCTTACGAATAATACTTATACAAGAAGAATGCAAGAAGAATTATTATTGTCGGTGTAATCATAATAACGCAAAAAACCTATCAGTCTTATATAAATCTGTTCCAGCGATAATATCAAGCTCTATTAAAATAATACTTAATAATGACTGCTTCATGTGCGCAAGCAGTTCTTTATTTTACGTCATATCTATTGACAAATAAATAAACACCTTGAAGTCGACTCGATATCGAGATACAAAATAATTACAAAATCTCTTATCAGAAAAAAAATCTGATTTTTTAGATAAATCTCCATTTTGGAGTAAAATAATCGTTAGTAAATTAATCATCATCGCATTATTATTTAATGATCAACGATCAATAGTTTAATTCTCTTTTTTTCGCACTAGCGATTCACACGATACAATCGATACAACCGAGCCATTTGATTACGGTCGCTATTTTGAAACACAATCTTTATTGTTAATGATGAATTCTGAATCTTTATTCGTTTTTTCATTCTCTCAACACATCCGGGATCGTTAAGATTTTTTGTAAGATGTTGACAATTTATATTACAATCAATTACCAGACCAGCCGCCATTTTGAGCTGTAATCTTCGCTCGTTTCATTTAGCGTAAACTTTTCCAAGATTGTCAACAGATCATTAAGAAGATTTTTTTAAGGTCGTCACCGATTCACGTATTGCAATCGATTACGAGACAGCCGCCATTTTGGTACTGCGCAGCCGGAGTCTCCGGGTTATCTGCGGCCACGGCACGGCCGGCGCGACCTTATCTCGAGCATGGCTTGTTCATCCCGCACACGAATTTTTGTGCATAGTCGCCGGCATAGAATGTGCGTGTCTGCAATCGATTGCGTAATGAATCGGCGGCGCGCGCTCCGAGGCTTTCCGATTTTTTTGCGTGCGCACGCGCGCATGCGGCTGGCGGGCTCTTTTTTCCCCCCCGAGCGATCGTCCTTCGCAATGAGTTATTTACGTCAACGTAACGAAGTAATACACGGAGACTTTGCCAAATCGTCGCGACAAAACTCGCGGGAATACTTATGTTAAAGTTAAATGAAAAGATTTGTATTTTGGACGCGTACCCAACGCAAAATGCGAACGCTTCATCTCGTTTCGCGCGTGAGTTCTAAACGCGTTGAGAAAATAAAATTAGAAACCGACAGTAACGTTCAATGAGAAAACTTAAATATGAATAATTATTAATTTCAAAGCAAGTTTTTAAGACAATGATACGCATATAACGCGCTTGCGCTAAGACGACAAAAATAAAATACTTTACTCGTAAACGTTTGAACTCTGCAGATGTCGAGCGCGCTGTAAAAATTGTCCGCCAGCTGATTCGCATAAATAACTCGTCGAGAACGATCGCTCATTATGCTGCCGGTAGATTCTTGCCGCACTTCGTGGAAGTACTTACCACCGTTTGAGGAAGAACACAACGGCGGATGTCCACCCCTGACGATCACGCTGTCCTTGGCGGCCACCAGCTCTTGGATATCGTGGCCCTCCATGTCAAGGTCGGGATCGCCCCCGCCGCTTGCCCCGCTGCACCAACCGCATCAACTGCCGATGAGGATCGATGTAAAAGTCGCGCGTATTTCTCGGACACCGTCAGGACCGGAAGTCGTCAGCGCGAGTCGCGAATTCCCGCGAGTCGCAGCGCCCGCTGGCGCGCGCCGTTGCGCCTGAAGTCAGGCGCGCGACACACGCCCGGCTCGCACACACGAGGGTTGGAAATGCCGTGCGCCTCGCGCCTCACTTCGTGCCGTTCGCTCAACCGGCGACCATCGCCGTCGTCCCGACTCTATTTCGGAAATATCGCGCGCGACCGCGTCTCCGCGCTATCTGCCGTCCGGCGTAAATCGTTCAATCGTCACGCTTTCAATGAGATTAGGAAATGGTGTATCGTACGAGCGGGAGGGATGAGAACCGTCAAATCGAAGCACGATTTAAACACGCCTCGAGATCGTTTGCGGGGCGCGTATCCAACGATATCAATCGATTCAATTCCCGGACGAGTAGGATTTAAAAAAGATACAAATCACGATGAAACCTAAATTTAGAAGATGATTCTTGTAATCGATAACACGCTTTCGATAAGGATAATTCCAACGCACGTTACACAAATAAGATTTTCCTCTTTTTTTCCTCTTTTTTCTCTCGTTTCTCTCTTTATTTTCTCTCTCTTTTCCTCTGCGGATATAAACAGACAACAGAGAGGGCGCGATTTAAACAAGTTAAAATTAAATCGTCTAAAATAGTTGGGATATAAATACGAGCCGATTCGCGAATCATCTAGGAAATTTTGTAATGTTTCCCAGAAAATACGTAATATCTGACGGCATTTGCAACGCAACATAACATGTGTTATGTTATGTTGGACATTTGGAAAAAATATTATTAAAATACCCAATATTATCTTAGTTTCTTCAATTATATAAAACAGTTTTATTTGTGGACACGCACAATGAAAATTATTTAAAATTTCTTCAAAATCGTATCTTCAAGATTATCGCTATGATTTATGATGAAGTTTAGATAAGAACAACAAAGAAAAATAGATAAATTTTTTTATGTTTTTTTTCTCTCTCCTCTTTTTGTGTATTTTGTATTCTTTCAGATTTTAAAACAAGAAAAAAAATTTGTTTCCTTTTTCATTAAATGATAAACCGTCGTATTAGCTTTCAGTTACATGTGTCACTAACGGAACTTTTACAAACTGTAGATAGATTAATCTAAACATGTATTTCCGTTTCTACTTATCAAAAATTTCATTCAACATTTTTAGATAGTTTCTCAAAATAAAATATTCTTTTCAAAAATTATAATATAATATAAAGAAAACTCTAACGTTTTAAAAAGAAATTAAAGAGATATGAACAATCTCTTTATTTAAAAAACGAATATTTGAACATAAAAAAATAATTTTGAAAATGAACATATAATAAATTTTCATCATCAAATATCTTAAAACGTTGTATAATAAAAATATCTTAAATATGAATTTTTATTTATAATATTATATTAATATTTATTTATAAAGCTATTTATAAATTTGCGATATTATGTGATGCTTGTCACATTTACGAAATATGATATAAAATCCCAGTATATAAAGCAACGCCCATGCGGAGGCGTATTCGCAGAACAGAAAGCGAGTTGTTATTTGAAAAATCATTGAAGACCGAGTTTGCAATGAATGCAGCTGCACATTTCTATTGTCGCAATCCTAGTCATGTAAAGTAGGATTAAGCACTGTTATGAATAGCATTATCATCGGGACAACACTAGAAAAGAATCAAGTAATCAAGATGGATGGTTTCAAAGGCGAATCGCAGCTGACATTTTCAACAAACTGAGGAATATTTCGAAATAGGTCTGATAAAATATCGAATAAACTAATATATTGTAACCAATCTCGATCTGCTTGATCATTTATAACTTGATTTTTCTTTGAACGAACAGTAAAATTTATGAAAATCAAATAGATTTTAATTCAAATTCCATCGTAAAAGAATTTGCGCAAATTGATTTTAATTTTAAATTCCATCCTAAAATTTATGATTTATCTACATGACATGTAACAAAATTCTCTACACATATATTCTGTAATATGAACGCGCGCGATCAATTTGTCATTCTCAACGGATCCACGATGGATCGATGAGAAAATGAGAAAGAAAGAGAAGAGAGAGAGAGAGAGAGAGAGAGAGAGAGAGAGAGAGAGAAGAAGAGACGACTAACGTAGAGGTAGGAC